ATATATATATATATATATATATATATATATATCACATCTTCTTTATCCATTCGTCTTTTGAAGGACATCTAGGCTCTTTCCATAGTTTGGCTATTGTGGACATTGGTGCTATAAACATTGGGGTGCACGTACCATTTCTGATCACTATATTTGTATCTTTGGAGTAAATACTCAGTAGTACAGTTGCTGGGTCAAATAGGGTAGCTCTATTTTCAACTTTTTGAGGAACCTCCATATTGTTTTCCAGAATGGCTGCACCAGCTTACATTCCCACCAACAGTGTAGGAGGGTTCCCCTTTCTCTGCATCCTCGCCAACATCTTTTGTTTCCTGACTTTTTAATTTTAGCCATCTGACTGGTGTGAAGTGGTATCTCACTGAGGTTTCGATTTGGATTCCCCTGATGCCAAGTAACGTTGAGTACTTTTTCATGTGTCTGTTGGCCATTTGGATGACTTCTTTGCAGAAATATCTGTTCATTTCATTTCATTTCAAATAAAGCCTTTATTTCCCAGTTGATCTTTTGCTTAGATGATCTGTCCATTTCAGTGAGGGGGATGTTAAAGTCTCCTACTATTACTGTATTATTGTTGATGTGTTTCCTTGATTTTGTTACTAATTGGCCTATATAATTGGCTGCTCCCATGTTAGGGGCATAGATATTTACAATTGTTAGATCTTCTTGTTGGATAGACCCTTTAAGTAGGATATAATGTTTTTCCTCATCTCTTATTATAGCCTTTGGTTTAAAATCTAATTTGTCTGATATAAGGATTGCTACCCCAGCTTTCTTTTGATGTCCATTATCATGGTGAATGGTTTTCCACCCCCTCACTTTAAACCTGGAGGTGTCTTTGGGTCTAAAACGAGTCTCTTGCAGACAGCATATCAATGGATCTTGTCTTTTTATCCAATCTGATAGCCTGTGTCTTTTGATTGGGGGCATTTAGCCCATTTACATTCAGGGTAACTATTGAAAGATATGAATTTAGTGCCATTGTATTGCCTGTAAGGTGACTGTTACTGTCTATTGTCTCTATTCCTTTCTGGTCTATGTCACTTTTAGGCTCTCTCTTTGCTTAGAGGATCCTTTTCAGTATTTCTTGGAGGGCTGGTTTCGTGTCTGCAAATTCCTTTAGTTTTTGTTTGTCCTGGAAGCTTTTTCTCTCTCCTTCTATTTTCAATGACAGCCTAGCTGGATATAGTATTCTTGGCTACATATTTTTCTCATTTGGTGCTCTGAAGATATCATGCCAGTTCTTTCTGGACTGCCAGGTCTCTGTGGATAGGTCTGCTGCCAATCTAAGGTTTTTACCATTGTAGGTTACAGACCTCTTGTCCCGAGCTGCTTTCAGGATTTTCTCTTTGTCTCTCTGAGACTTGTGAGTTTTACTATTAGATGTCGGGGTGTTGACTTATTTTTATTGATTTTAAGGGGGGTTCTTTGTGCCTCCTGGATTTTGATGCCTTTCCTTCCCCAAATTAGGGAAGTTCTCTGCTATAATTTGCTCCAATATACCTTCTGCACCTCTCTCTCTTTCTTCTTCTTCTGGGATCCCAATTATTCTGATGTTGTTTCGCTTTATGGTATCACTTATCTCTTGAATTCTCCCCTTGTGATCCAGTAGTTGTTTATCTCTCTTTCTCTCAGCTTCTTTGTTCTCCATCATTTCGTCTTCTATATCACTAATTCTCTCTTCTGCCTCATTTATCCTAGCAGTTAGAGCCTCCATTTTTTATTGCACCTCATTAATAGCCTTTTTGCTTTTGACTTGGTTAGATTTTAGTTCTTTTATTTCTCCAGAAAGGGTTTCTCTAGCATCTTCTATGCTGTTTTAAAGCCCAGCTAGTATCTTTATAATTGTCATTCTGAACTCTAGTTCTGACATCTTACAAATGTCTGTATTGATTATGTCCCTGGCAGTCGGTACTGCTTCTTGTTCTTTTGTTTTGAGGTGAGTTTTTCCATCTTGTCATTTTGTCCAGAGGAGAATAGATGAATGAGAGAACAAAATGCCAACAGGGTAGCAATGACCCCCAGATAAATATACACTAAACAAATCAGAAGAGACCTGAAACCAGGGGGAAAAGAAAGGGAAATAAAAAAGAAAAGAATACGATCAGGTTGGTGAATAGAACAGAACCACATACTAGATTTTGGGTGTATTTTGGTCTGTTAAAAGAAATTGCCTCCCAAAATTTTAAAGAATGAAAAACTTATAGATATATAAAAATAAGGGTAAATACAATGAAGGGATGGAACATGACTGTGAAGATGAAAATTAAAAAAGATTTTAAAAAATGAATTGATAAGAAGTTGGTTGAAAAAAGAATGAGAAAAAATTTTAAAAAAGAGAGAGAGAGAATGTGATCAGGCAGGAGACTAGGACAATGTCATACACTAGATTTAGGGTATATTTTGGTCTGTTAGAAGAAAGTGTATCCCAAAATTTGAAAGAAAAAAATATATATATATACAAAAAATAAGGTTAAATACAAAGAGATAAAATATGACTGTAAAAATGAAAATTAAAAAAGATTTTTAAAAAGGAATTGATAAGATGTTGGTTGAAAAAGGGAAGAAGAAAAATTCAACTAAAAAAATAGAAAAAGAGGGCGCCTGGGTAGCTCAGTTGGTTAAGCAACTGCCTTCGGCTCAGGTCATGATCCTGGAGTCCTGGGATCGAGTCCCGCATCGGGCTCCCTGCTCAGCAGTGAGTCTGCTTCTCCCTCTGACCCTCCCCTCTCTCATGCTCTATCTCATTCTCTCTCTCAAATAAATAAATAAAATCTTTAAAAAAAATAGAAAAAGAAAAAATAAAATTTAAAAAATTAATTTTGAAAGACTAAAGAATCATGGGGAAAAGCCATGAATTCTATATGCTGTATTCCCCTAGCTCTGGGGTTTTGCTGTTCTCATTGATCGGTAAACTTGGTCTTGGTTTCACCTGTTCTTGCTGATCTTCTGGGGGAGAGGCCTGTTGCGGTGATTCTCATTTGTCCTTGCCAGAGGCAGAATTGCCCCGCCCTTGGCAGAAGCCAGGCTAAGTAATCTGCTCGGGTTTGCTCTTGTAGCTTTTGTTCCCTGAATCTTTATATATATATACAGCTTTGGAGGACGAGAATGAAAATGGTGGTTTCCCAATCTCTGGTCCCAGAGGAGCTGAGAGCTCTGGGCCCTGCTCCTCAGTGAGCCCCCAGAGAAAAGCAGTCAATCACTCCTCTCTCCCTGGACTCCGGTCGCACTCCCTGCTCACCCGGCCTATGACCGAGTGTTTCTATCTCTTGCATATGACCCTGTTTGGAGTCTCTATAGCCAGTAGATTCCTGTGGTGAGCTCCCAAGCTGCTCTTCTGG